GAGCGAAATAAAGGGTTCAGTTCGACATTCTAACCACCTGAAGAAGGCCGGAGCGTACAACGGCCGAAACGTAATAAATATGGCGACAAAGATGAGGACAATAGTCCGAATAATGTAAATAGTGTATATTTACCCCATCTCAGAAATATAGACAGATACTGAAAGGCCGAAACGTTGTAATAAATATGGCGACAAAGACGAGGACAATTGTCCGAATAATGTAAATAATGCAATCTTCGCATTAAAAAAAGATTCTAAGTCCATAAGCAGACAATTCGAGAGCGTGACTTTGCAAATGCGTCGATGTTATAGGAGGACAAATAACGTATGTGTTGAAAATATCATGGGTCGACTGATTAAAAAAAATCTAATTAAGTTTATTAGGCAGTGAAATTTTCAACACCCACGTCGTACAGGTTCTTGAATTTATATCGTAAATTGTCAGTTTCAGCAGCCAATACGTCCCCCGGGGCAATTAATCAAAGCTACAAATGACAAGAAATAGTGGCCACGTTCGAAATGGACATTATGCATACACACATACACTCATACATAGACACAGACACACAGAGAGAGAGAGAGAGAGAGAGAGAGAGAGAGAGAGAGAGAAAGACAGACAGACAGGGGAGGGAGAGGGAGAAAAGATTCCTTTATATGTCGTGTCTCTTCATCACGTCGACGATCATGGCTCTCCACAATTTCCTGTCCTTTGTAGCTCTTAGTAAATTTTGTCTTTTCGCTATTTCTTCTAATCCCTGTTCTGCTAACCATTTACACAAACGCCTTAGGTACACCCTTGTGCAAACTAATTATACAGGAAGATGTAGAGAGCCATGATCATCGACACCCTTGCGAAAATTAATTGAAACAAAACGAATAAATCCGTTATTTATTTTTTTTCATATTTTTCCAATGAAACATGCCCCAGTGCACATGTTAGTACTTTGTATGTCCATTCCACAAAGTCGTTTCTTGCAGATTTACCACAGATTCTCGATTGGATTTAAATCAGGAGAGTTTCCAAGCGAATCGTTAGTACATTGATTTTCTCACTGGTAAGGCTTGTCAGTGTGTTCGTGCAGCGTTAAAATTTTCGTACGCTTCCTTGGAGTAACGTCCATCACAGACAATGGCCGTAGGACAACTAATCGACAGTTGAAACAATATTGTCTGGGCGTGATAAAAATCTGATGCAATCATGGATGACGCAATATTTTTCAAGGCCAATCAAATTTCATCATACATCGAGAAAATAGATTCATATTACTGCACATCACTGCAAATGACCTAATTTGAGAAAAAGAGAAATCGATTACACACTGTCACTCAAATGGGTCAAAAACTAACCGTATGGTGAAAGAAAGGAAATAAAAGTGGTCGTTTCAATTAATTTACACAAGGGGGTAGGTTATTTGCTTTTTTTTCTCTCCCAAGAAATTACAACTGTCTCTTTCAGATGTTAAGTATAAATTTGCTTTCTGTTTCTACTTTCTCCAAATCTTCGTTATTGCTTGCGTGTTCAGTTCATGATATGCTCAGAAGTCATCTATAAAGATATGCTCTAGACAATAAGAGACAATAAGAGTGGAAAATAGTATTGAATTCACGATAATAGAAATCGTCTCCATGATGGAGTTTTTTTTGTTTTTTTTTAAGCGTTTTAAGGCGGGAAGCCACGAGCACGCAAGGAGTTACCGAGAGTTGGAGCGAGAGCAAAGAGGAGTGATAGAGGAAAGAATGAAGAGAAGGATAGGAGATAGATCAAGAAATCTGGAGAGGTCGATTGACATTACATTTGAATAGATGGATGTTATAGCTATCAGGGAAACAGGAAGAGTGGATGGATTTCCACAGGCGAGAGGTGCGAGACATGAAGCTATTGGAGTAGAAGAGACGGCTACATTTAACTGTTTCGATAGTGAAAGGGTGAGAGCGAGATGCCAGCCTAGTAGAACGCTTAAATTCATGAAACATTTGGCTACAGGTGGAGTACCATAAAATTATTTATTAAGTATCACTTCGTACAGTAAATACGAATGATATAACTTAGGTCATAATTAATTTTCGTTTTGAGGAAACAATTGTCATGGCGGATGAATCATTCGAATTATAAATCATACGTGAAGAATAAATTGCGACTCCACTAACATACACTCCTGACCAAAATCTTAAGACCAGATAAAAAAAAAAGTGTTAAAAAATATAAAATACTGTTATTTTAATCGAAATATATTTGCGAAATATTTACATTTAATTAGAAAAAGTAGTTAATCAACAAACAAATGAAAATTTTAAGCTTTTAATTGATTAATTTAAACAACATTGTAAAAGTATTTTTTATTGGTCATAAAGATAAGACCATGTGTGAAAGAAAATTACTGAACAAAAATTTTAGAACTAGTCAGTGTGCTCATAGCTTCAGGCGTGTAGACATCTATTTATCTCATTTCTAGCATTAAATTTCAGATTTTAAAATGACTGCATGCTAGTGGCTTCCCACCTTGCTTAGGGTAAAACGCTTACCCCCCACAAAAAAAACCCTCCATCATGGAGACGACTTCTATTATCGTGAATTCAATACTAACTATTGTCCACTCTTATTGTCTCTTATTGTCTAGAGCATATCTCTATGGATGACTTCTGAACATACCATGGACCGAACACGCAAGCAATAACGAAGATTTGGAGAAAACAGAAACAGAAAGGAAACTTATATTTAACAACAGAAAGAGACAATTAAAATTTCTTGGGAAGATAATGAGAAAAGAGGCACATAACTTGCAATCTTGTGCAAATGAATTGAAACAACCGCCTTATTTTCTTTTCTTTAATCATCTTTACCAATGTCAGTGTGGTAAGATTCTGACCAGGAGTGTACCTTAATTGTGGCAGCATACACAGTGGATTAAAAGAAAAATGATGTCCCCCTCATGACAACACATGGTTTCATACAGCAACAATAATATCTGAAAATAACTTAAAGCTTGTTTGTTCTGTTCTGCCTCAATTGCCATATTCACTTGACTTTATATCAACTGATTATTCGATCGCTTTAAAACACTTTGATGTGTAAAATATTCTCTAACCAGGTTGAAGGATTTGTCGAAAAATTTTTCACATCAAAATTTTCGGAATTTTGCTCAAAAGACATCGAAAAGCTGCTTGATGTGTGGCAACAATTCGCTGTAAATAATGGTGAATAAATGATTGAATAAAATGGTATTTTACTTTATTTTTTGAAGAATAAAACTGATAAACAAAAACTGAAATTATTTACGACTCAGCTTAATATTTATTTACGATTTTATCCCAATATATTCCGTCATATTTCTGGCAATTTTATAATTCATATTCAGAAAACTCTATCTTCATCGGTAAGGAACTGCTCTTGCTGTCTTTGGTAGTGTTTTTGATCATTTTCTTTTTTTTTTCGATTGAATAATTCCGTAAATAAATAGTAAATCCGAAGGAAACCCCTTCCAAAACAAACAAGAAAAATTGATTTGTTTTCTACGGCTTATCAAACCTTTGTGATTTATTTAAAGCCGAAATATACTTTGCATAGTAAGAATAATTTGTTACGAGTGAATATTACATTTTACAATGTTTTGCGAATAACAATGATTTTTTGTTTCAGATACAAGTCCTACTATTTAACCCATAGTTAGAGGGGGAGATACAGTTATACCTCTCCCAAGTGTAAATGTAACGAACCTGACTGGAATTCGAACTCAGTTCTCCGATTTCTCATTCCGAACCGCTATCCATTACACCACCTGCACATCCAAAGCTGACAAAACACCCAATACCATACCAAACCAATATTTATACATAAAGCCAAGCCTAACCATAAAAGCATGCAAAACCAACAAAACACAATAATAAACCAAACTAAACCAAACCAAACCTAGCGTTATTCAAATGGAATCTTATGCCTGAAAAAGGAAAACTCTTTTTTTTTCTCTGCGACCTTCATTTCACCTAATTGGGAACAGTACTTGTTTGAATCAATCGTTTTGGTTATTCTTCCAATCCTGTAGGGGATAGTCTCAAGATTTTGATATAGATAACCGGAGTTTATTTCACTTGCCTCACGATCTCTTGCATTTCACGTTGTTGAAAGTATTCACTTATCGACCGACTTAAAAAAAAGTGAAAACATTTTCGTCACATTTAAGGAACGAATCACCCTCGAAAATACACTACAGTTGGTTTGTTTTTCGCTTAATGCAGGAACCACATATCAAAGTGAGATAGAATATAGTTGCTTATTATATTCAATCATCAATATTAGAATCAGAAACTAGGTTAATTTTGCAAAATTAAAAAAATATGCTGGTATGACAGGCGTCACTGTATAGTCAAGATCGATCTTTTTTAATTAAATTATTTAAAATTAAGCTCTCCTAATGCCATCATAACAATAAAATGAAATTTTTATGCTTATATTTTGTTCAAATGTGCGTTTTTGTGACAGTATATGTATTCTCCAATATGCCGATCTATTATGACATATCTGTCTGCGTAGTCTGATGCTGGGCGCATGCGTAAAATGAACTTATTTGCGTGGGACATCATGGTCACGTGTTAGCGTAAGCAAGTACGTGAGAGAACATTGAAACGAGCGGGAGCGGGATGAGGAGGACTTTGTGGGTGAGATGAGAAGGGGCAATGAGAGAAAATAGCGAAGGTGTCAGTAGCAAGGTGGTTGTAAAATGAGAGAAGCAGACGATTAATTTAATTCTTTCTTTTGTTGTAGTTTTTCCTCAGATTCAAATGCTTTTTCACTTTCTCTCTTAACTTTCTTATCTAAAATCTTTTTACTTTCATTCTCTTCACTTTTCTGCTTTTTCCTTCCCTTTTCTGTCTGCTTTTTATTCTTCCGAAATTGGTCATTTTTTTTTGCTTATCTCTGTTCTGTCTTAGCTTTTAAAAATATATTTCTTTATTTCTCTTCTTTTTAAATATTTTCGTATCTATTTTCTTTTCTAACTTTCAAGATTCCTACATGATCTTATCTTTTATTTTCTCGATTCTTTCCTTTATTCTTTTATCTTACTTTCCCTCTTTCTTCTCTTTTTCTTCTTTCCTTTATTTTTACTTCTTCTCTATTCTATTAATCTTCTTCCTTTTCCTCTTCCCCAATCTCTTATTTATGCTTCTTTAATGTACGCACTCTTTTTTTTCTATCTCATTCTCTTTATCTATTTTCTTTTCCATTCTACCCTTTCTATCTACTTTCTTCTTCTTCTTCTTCTTCTTCTTCTTCTTCTTCTTCTTTATTCTCTTTTCCTCACCACGTTTCTCTTTCGAAATACTTCATCTCTTCTTTCTCTTCAGATTTTCCTTTTCCTTTATTTCTTCACTTTCTCACCTTCACCTTCCTCCTCACTTTCCTCCTTCCACAGTGCTGTTATTAGAGTAATTCCTGTCGTTGGAGTGGTGCTGGGGGTCCGGCTGCTGCTATCACACCATCGCCGACTGATGGTGTTGCTGGCAAGCTGTGATAACGTGGCGCCTGCAAACTCCGTTTCTTGCAGATTATCCTTCTTAATCTGCCTCCGATCTTTGCATCAAGCCGCCCAAAGCAGACAACGCGTCACGTTCACTGGGTATTAAACATGGCCGAAGCAACGATCAGGTTGGGAGAGAAGAGAATGAGACAGGAACGCGGGTGACGGGGTAGAAGAATTGTATACCGGACAGACTCAGTCTGAATTCGTCACTCGCCCTGAGCCACCCACCACCATCCCAAAGCTTAATCACTTACTGTGAGGCAAATACTTTATTTTGCTGGAAAGATGTTTTTCCTTCTCCCGAGCGAGTTGATATTTTTAACACTTTGTTGTCGTGGAGTTTGTTAGTGCACCAGTGGGTTGACATCAATAGGAAAGAAACTGAAAAATACTTTTATAGGGTCTGAAGGATTATCTCCCCTTTCAAACCACAAGAAGAATGAAAAATAAATAATTAAATAAAAACGTTAAAGATTGCTAAAAAAAAATAGTGCAAAAATCAAAATTCTGAAAAACGAAAGAATGTAATTTCAAAAAGAAGCCACGTCCTTTCAGAACGTGGGCAGTTAAGGCTTTCTCTAGATTTCTTTTTTTTTTATTATCTGTGAATTACAATGGGTATGTGACACCGAAATCCGAACAGCGCATCGGATTAGCGAAAAATGCATTCCAAAAGCTAAAAAATAGAACTAAAAAACAGGAAAATTTCTTTAGAAAAAAAAAGAGTGTTGAACTGCTGTGATATCAATCATTTTGTATGGCAGTGAATGCTGGACAATTTTACTACAGACGATGAAAAAAGTGGACGTAACAGAAGTATGCTACTACAGAAGGATACTGAGAATGCAAGAGTGTTGAACTGCTATGTGATATCAATCATTTTGTATGGCAGTGAATGCTGGACAATTTTACTACAGACGATGAAAAAAGTGGACGTAACAGAAGTATGCTACTACAGAAGGATACTGAGAATGCAAGAGTGTTGAACTGCTATGTGATATCATTTGTATGGCAGTGAATCATTTACAGATGGCAGTGAATGCTGGACAATTTTACAATTTTACTACAGACGATGAAAAAAGTGGACGTAACAGAAGTATGCTACTACAGAAGGATACTGAGAATGCAAGAGTGTTGAACTGCTATGTGATATCAATCATTTTGTATGGCAGTGAATGCTGGACAATTTTACTACAGACGATGAAAAAAGTGGACGTAACAGAAGTATGCTACTACAGAAGGATACTGAGAATGCAAGAGTGTTGAACTGCTATGTGATATCAATCATTTTGTATGGTAGTGAATGCTGGACAATCTTACTACAGACGAAAAAAAAGTGGACATAACAGAAGTATGCTACTACAGAAGGATACTGAGAATGCAACAGTGTTGAACTGCTATGTGATATCAATCATTTTGTATGACAAAAAATGCTGGAAAAACTTACTACAGACGAAGAGAAAAGTGGACGTAACAGAAGTATGCTACTACAGAAGGATACTGAGAAGGCTTCCATGAAAAGACAAAACGAGTAAGCAACGAGGAATTTTAAAAATGGTAAAAAAAACATGAACGCTTATATTCATAATCGGAGAGTCGTGTTCGAATTTGAGTTGGGTTTGCTACAATCACTTACGAGAAAATACCTTGGAGAAGGTATGAATCCATCTCTTTTTCTCCAAGCTATGGGATGAATAGTAGGGCAGACTGGAACCTATAGACCTGGTTGGCAGAAAGAAACGGCAACCTACAGCGGGAAAATTTTTTGCTCAGTCATGAATCGAAAGAAACATGATCGCCCTAGCGTGTATCACGTGATGACACTTAATTGCCTGATTGATTCTAAGAATTAGAAGGACACAGCTGAAGATTGTTGGACACATAATGAAGGAGGAGGGCTTGGAAAACTTAACTCGCACATGGCATACTGAAGGCAAGAGAGAAACGGAAGGCAGTAAACCATCTACATGACTAACTGGTGTGAATGGCTGGTGGAAATGGTTCAGGAGGTTTGGTAAAGGGAGAAACGTTGCTAAGGATCACGAGAGATATTGTGGAAGAAGAAGCAGAAAATATTATGACCCTTTGAGAAAGATAGTGGAGGTGGGGTTCCGTTGTCTTCTCCACGGTTTTGAATTCAGAATAGCCCCCCCCTCAAAACAAGAAAACCCGGGATACGTTGCTATTTAATCTAGATCTAAAAGGAGAAGTGATGGACTCATGCTTTTCCGTATGACTCGTTCGAAAGTGAACGCAACACACTAGGCCTTATATATATATGTATAGTTAAACCTAGAGAGTCAGACAAACCTACCAACGTTTCACCTAAGGTTTAACTAGGTCTGCTCTACTTGCTGTATCGAGCACTTTAGTTATTTTGCCTATTCGTATCGTTTTTTTTTCTTTGGGTTTTGGACTTGTATGCTAGACGATTAGTTTCGGCTAACGTACATGTTTTTGGTTCTTTCTTGTTTATACCTTTTTTCCCCTTTGTTACTGGTTTGATTATTTGCAAATTAAAATACTGAAGGTTTTCCGAACGAGTATAATTTCTTATACTTATAAGATTTCTACTACTACTACTACTACTACTAATAATAATTATATATATATATATATATATATATATATATATATACATATATATATATATATATATATATATATATATATATATATATATATATATATATATATATAAGATTGTGTGGTTTGAATTACTCTTTGAAAGTAACTCAGTCTGCGAATGATTCAGCCATGATAACCTGGACTGTGCGAGTAAATATGTGAACAATTCTTTCACACGTTTTTTGCTCAGAAGCCGGTCCGCTCATCATTTCCGTTTGCTTGAAGCGGTCCACATTAAATTACATCAACCGGCTTTGGGCAAACAGAAGGGGTATTTCATTCGCTCCTTTAATCTTTCGTGAGTACTATTTCTTCCAGTTTATACTCACTCGTGTTTCATAATTTTGCCTCTTCATCTTTTTTCATTATTTTGTGAATTGTCCTTTTCTTTGTTCTCATCATAAACTACGCCAACGTTTTCCTCCCGATGAAGCCTTGGCCGGAAGAAGTCACAAAGGGCAAAATGTCTTTGTGTTTTTTCAAGTCTATATATATATATATATATATATATATATATAGGATTAATACAAATGTAAAATTTCTTTCTCGTTTCGCTGATGTTATTTTCAACATCTCAACTTCAGTTGTGTAGACAGACTATCCAGCAATCGCTCCTTCCACTCGTTAGGAGATACCAGCAATTGACAGTTTATTTTTTTCGTTTTACATCCCTTTTTTTCTTACGTGCGTTTTACGGTATATATATATATATATATATATATATATATATATATATATATATATATATATATTAAAATTATAATATTTTACAAACAGAAATTGCAGGATTTATTATATATTTCAAACATGTTTGGCTAAATAATACCTGCAATTTCTGTCTGTCAAAATTTATTAATTTTTAATATATATATATATATATATATATATATATATATATATATATATATATATATATTTCAAGCATGTTTGGCTAAATAATACCTGCAATTTCTGTCTGTCAAATTTTTATTAATATTTTTTTTCAAATTTCCTTATTAGTTGTTTTATGCTATCGGTAAATTTGCCAAAAATCATATTTATTTTAATTTTGTCCATCGTACTGTTTGAAATAATTAATGCTGCCGAATTTCACACACGCACACACACACACATATATATATATATATGTATATATATACCCGAAAATTATCAGAATTAAAGAAATTCATGTTTTAAGGAGATATTGGTGTTCAAGGCAGGTAGAATATATTTACTACTACCAAACTAGGATTTGTAAATATTAGTACACCAATTGTTTTCTTTCTCTAATTCTTTATCCCTTATTTTCAGGAGGAGGGCGCTCATAGTTTTCTACTGCTTCTTGTTTGCTTTAAATAAAAATTCTTAATGAATGAGGATATTTGCAAAGATCAGATTTGTCTATGTATGATTGCCCTGTAAACATTTAGCGAGTATATATGACCACAGCTTCAGTACACTAGAAGCGTAACTCTAAATCATGCTGCTGGGGCTTCCATAGTAAGTGTGCTTTTATGGGGTGCACCTGCTACCCAACCGATTTTAGATACAGAACTTTGCTTCCTGATTTCAACCAAGGCTAGAAAGCCTACTCTATTAAATTCTATTCGAGAGAAGAAGAGATGGAGTCATATCTTTCCGAGGTTATTTTTACGATTTTTTTTCTTTGCCGATAACCTCAACGCTACATACACATCATTAGATTCACTCATCCGATGATGGAAACATTGAGCGTGTAGAAAGAGATAATTACACCGATCTTCCGAGTAGTGGGGTCGCAGTTACATCGGAAAAGCTTACCTCTGTCAGCTGTGGATAAGACGTAATTACCTGATCTTAAAATGGGTGAATTTCCTGCCGGGAGACGTTAGCCATATTTAGCCGCGTAAGAAAAAACAAAAAAACAAAAAAAGGATGGATGATATTTATAATTTTATGTATGTATCTATCTCACTCACTCTTTTCATATCTATCTGTTTCGTAAATACTGACATATATCTATTTCGTTAATATTGACATCTATCTATCTATCTATCTATCTATCTATCTATCTATCTATCTATCTATCTATTAAGGACTGTTAAAATCTATCTATCTATCTATCTATCTATCTATCTATCTATCTATCTCACTCTTTTCATATCTATCTATTTCGTAAATACTGACATCTATCTATCTATCTATCTATCTATCTATCTATCTATCTATCTATCTATCTATCTCCTTGTGCTACGAATACAACCTCCCATTAATGGTTTACTGTAATAACCTTGTTCTAAGTCAATATCTAAATATACATCCACTGCTAAACCAACTTATATAGACACATACAAACACACACGCGTGCGCACACACACACACAAAAGATAAATCAAGGGAACATAATTTTCAATCTGATCAGTTCTTTGATTAGTTACAACTTTGGAAACACATGTACGGTAAGCGCCTCATAGTCTTGCACCAAGCTTAATAATTCAGCTTTCAGTTACCTAATTAATTTGGCATAGCGAAGTTTAATAACATTTTGTCAACCTTTTTCTTTTTTCACATACTTTACCCTAGCCCATATATATATATATATATATATATATATATATATGTGTGTGTGTGTGTGTCTGTGTGGGTGTGTGTGTGTGCGTGTGGTGTGTGTGTGTACGTGCGCGCGCCTGTGTGAGTATGTGCATTTTATCTTATTCAATTGATTGAAAACATTGTGTATGGTTTCTCCCATTCTTACGCTCTCCTATAATCTCTCTCTTTCTCTCTCTCTCTCTAACTCTCACCATTTCTCTATCTGTCGGTCTACCCGTCTCTCTCTCTATCTCTTTCTCTGTCTCTCTCTCTCTCTCTACACACACACACACATGTGTGTGTGTGTGTGTGCGTGCACGCACGCGCGTGTGTTTTAAACCCTCCTTTGACTTGGTTTTCTTTTCTTTTTTAATTCGCCTCCTCCTCCTCTCTGGCGTTTTCCCGCACAAAACTTTTATCGTTATGCCTTATCGTGACAAACAGCATTCCTAAAAGTTGAATTGATGTCACATAAATTTTCTGCGCTGGCTCAATCCTCGGCATACTATTGATCAGTCAGAGGGAAAGCGAGACATTTGTCTTCGATGAAAAACTAAAGAAGGAAAAGAAAGATAAGTAAAAATGATAAATAAAAGATAATTGGATAGTTCTTTTTAGTTTTTCCTTCTTAGTCACCAAGATAAGTAAAAAGTGTAAAAATGGAAGCGATTTTTTATTCCACTCTCTTTTCCCACTTTTCAGATAAAAATGGCTACCACTGAATTCCCCGCTCTCGACTGCAGTTTTTGGTTATCTGTTTTCTGATATTGCTATAACTGTTTGCTTATCAAGATCAAATACTGAATGTATCCATCTGGATGGATAGATGACATGTTCATCATGGATTTTACAAGCATGGGATACCTTAGATATAAACCATGAATTTATGGATTTAAAAAAAATCAAACTCCAGGAAAACTACTGCTCATTGAAACTTGGGTTGATATCTTTCAGAAATGATTTTTTATTGAATTTCGAACAAGTTTTTGTAAAATGAAAGAAATTGCTCAGTTTGAAATAGCCTGAAAATTAGCGAATAAAAAAAAGAATGCTCCAGACAAAACGCTTTAACGATAACTTTATTTCGAATAATTGAAATACTAGCAGCCATATAAGCTGGTCGATCAGATAAATTAGAATGGAACAAAAACAACATCATGTTTAGATGTAACAGAGTCTATTTTCAATTACTTTAAAGTACTTTCATTAAAATCATTTTGATTTAATGCAGTTACTGATGTAACAGAAGTAGTCTATATTTATTCAATCGAAGTTAGCCAAGTATATAAAGGGGTAAACAGGCAACATGAAGACCCACTTCAGACCACAATTATTTTGGAGTTTTTGAAATTCAATTTGTCAGTTTGCTACCAGGCATGTAAAAGAGGATACATTTATACAGCAATTGTTAATTTTGATTAAAATTGGTTGAAAGATCAACGAAAAATAAGAAAAAAAATCTGTAAAAATCGTCATTTTTTGCTATTTACGCGGTTTTTCACTATATGGGTGAACTCAATTATCAAGTTAAATGACTGTCAAACAATCAATTTATTGTGGGCTACGATTGAGTGAAGTTTCTATTGGATTGCTTGAAAATTGAGGGTATTTTAGTCTAAAATTTGTGTTGAAATCGATTTTTCGTTTTCCGCGGTTTTTCACTAAACGCAGTAGCGTAGAAGTAAAAATGAGGTATCGTTGAGCTCGTCATGATGTAACTTAACATGCTGAACAAAAACGGAGGAAAAAGTTGAATTCATCGATATTTGATCGGCTTTATCAATTATTGATCTTTTAAAAATTATCGATTTTTTACGTTAAGAACCTATCTCTTACATTGTACAATGTAAGAGATAATTTGTCCATCGGTTGGATGGATCTCGAGTGAAAAGGTATCACCAAGACAGACATCCCCAGTTATATATATATATATATATATATATATATATATATATATATATATATATATATATCTATATCTATATCTATCTATATATATATATATATATATGTATTTTTGTGTGTATTTAGGCCGAATTTTTCCATTGATGCATGTTTCATTAAATAATATACACAAGATTTTTTTTTTTCATATTGTCTGATAAGCTTAATAACGTTATCATTAAAAGACGAAAGAAAATCACCATATTGATACATATTTTTAAATCCTATCTAAGCGTTCGGCTTATATAAGCGATTATCAAAGATGACAATTACATTACAATATATTAAACAATACACGGACAAAAAATATTGATAGGCTGGTTTTGTTTGCATGGAAGATTTCCAAGCAACGACAAACTCGTGCATACGAGACGCTGGAAGTGAAAACCGCACCTCAGCTCATGACGTCACACATGACGACGCGAGATGGAAAACGAGAAGTATTAAATATGGGAAGCCATTGTTATAAACCAGTGGCTTAATATTTAATGAAACATGCATCAATATATATATATATATATATATATATATATATATATATATATATATATATAGGGATTATGAAAAGATTAAACTATCATGACTCCGAAAACAACAAATCGAACTTGGATTGACTTTCCCCCAGTGTATATGTATGTATGTATGTATGTGGCCGAGTGGTTAGAACGTTCGAATTCTGACCATGAGACACGGGTTCGACTCTCACCATGGTCAATTTGTTAGGAAGGAGACTTCCTGATATTATGAGGGGTTGATCTCATCGTGCGGCAACTTTGGAAAGTGTTTAGAAACCATACCACGGGTTGACCCAAGCCTTGTGAGTGAAATTGGGTAGACGGGACCCTTGGGGGCCGTCGATAGCTGCGCTCGCACGAAGTCGCAAGTCATTGTGGCCGATGTCTTGAGCCTTGTTCAAATTGTTGATCACGCTAGATAATACGCTCTTTCTAAAAACTCGGCCACGGTTCAACACAAAACCTTGTGAGTGAAACTGGGTAAACAGAACCTTTCGGAGCATGTTGATGGTTACAAGTCAGCGTGACCGAGGGTTTCAACGTGCTGGCCTTGTTTAAAAGAATGAACACGCCCGCTTATGCACTCTCTCCCAGAAACTGTAACTAAGGTTTGCTCAGCATAGTTACAGTATAAACCACGGGTGGGCTCTGTGGGTGTTGAATAAGCACAAATGCGCCCGAGCAAGCGTCTGCAATAGGGATTGGCTTGTCTCTCTAGTAGACGAGCATCCTCGAATATTAATGGCCAGCTATACTATACATGTATATAAATCCAGTATATAAATGGGCGTGTAGTCAGATTGTTCGCGTACCGATCATAAGACTCGGGTTCAAATGTCATCGAGGTGAATTCTTGCTGAAAGACTTTCGAAAATGTCTGACAATAACATAGGTGGACCCAAGCCATGTTAGTGAAACTGGTTTGACGGAACTATTTCATCGCTGGTTGTCATGAAGTTACAATTCATCGTGTCCGAAGTACTGGTCATGTTCAAAGTGTTGATCACGGCAGATGATGTACTCCTCCGCAGAAAACTGTAACTCATGTCCGCTCAGCATAGTTGCAGTATCAGCTACAGCTGGTCTTTGTAGGTGTTAAACAGATGTGCCTTAGCAGGCGTCTGCAACAAAGATCGTTTAGACAGACGTGTATGTTCTGCTCAGAAACGAGTAACTGGTCATTATTCCGTAAATCCAGTAATCCACTTTGGCACACCTCACCATCCTCTGGTTACAGTTGGGGTTTCTGAAACAAGTTGACTTTTACGAAGTGGATTTCTCACAAAACCCTTTTTGAATTGTCCTCCTAGATCAATGATTCCAAACGTGGGACGCATGCCCAACCGGTGGGTCATGGTAATATTTTAGCAGGGCATGCGTAGGTTGTGCATCATTCGGCTTACTATGCCAAAGTGAGTTCAAATTCCATTTTGAATTATTATTTCATGATTAAAATGATCAAAGTATATTACAGAATAAGATTTCATTCAATATTTTATGCATTTCAGTTCTCTAATATATATTTTGAAATTATATATATTTAACTGTCTTTTTGTTGTTTTTTCATTTTTCTCTTTCATGGACGCATGGTCTTTGGAAGCTTGTACCACGTTAATGGCCTTTTGAGCTTCCTTCACGTGAATTGCAGTAACATTTTGAATATGTAAGAATTAAATATTAAATGGGGACACCAGAATTTTACAAATACCAAAGTGGGGCATGACTCAAAATCAGTTGGGAACCACTGTCCCAGACTGACACCTAAACAAAACTAGTCTTTCCGGTTATTAACCCTACCTGAGTGTTAGGGAAGATAAGAGATAGATTTATACCATTCTAATGGTATCTGTGCAAAAGTAAATTTAGTACCCTCGTTTGGAATGTGAACTCGGCAAACCAATTCCACGTACCATTACGTCTGGAGAACATTTTTCAGGCTGGTTAACATCGATGAATATGTTCTCAAATCTGAAGAATTGTGATCATCAGATTTAAATGGGCATTATTAATTCATGATAAAAGATCTAAAATATATTAACATAACAGTAGCCTACCATCACAGTGGCGCCTTAGTCCACTTCAAAGTAATCTTCGCTGAGATGTTTTCGTTACTTCTTCTTTTTAAAACATTCTGCAAATCTTTTTCTGAATCGACATCAACCAGGGAAAGATCAGGGAAGAGTATAAAACGGGCGATAGGCAAACCTGTCTGCTCCTATTGAGG